GATGGGTGGCCTTGCGGAGACCGGCACGGCGCTCCGCCCGCCCGGCCGCCGCCGCCGCCGCCCGGCCCGTCTCGTTAGCGCCCCAGAAGGAGCGATACTGCATTATGCCGGCGATCTGCAGACGGTAATTGACTCAGCCTTATATAGTTAGAAGGTGTTGGACGGTCGGAAGAGAAAACGGAGAAGAACGGACGGTCGGAGTAGCGGTGTTACGTGATAAGCAGAAAATAAACGATTAGAAAAGAAACAATTCAAACTTAATCATGTCAGCCAAAATTGATATGGTAAAATGTGGAATAGCTATATAAAAAAGGTAGGTACCTATACCTACAAATGAACGTGAAACATCGAATCTTGACAAAACTAAGAAATAACCCTTTTTAAATTCGCTAATAAATTTTAGATAACATAAACCAAACCTTATGAAAAGTTTCACGAAGGTACAAAAATGGAACGCAAATAATTAAAATACTTGCCTACATGGGTTAGATTGATTTCATATGAATAAGTATGAAGCATAAATGTAAAAACAAATAGGTTGGCAACACAATGAATTACAACTTTCCGCGCGTTCAGCAGCACCGTTATACCTATAGACAAAAAGACAGCCAGTGGCCTGATAAGCATCCCAGTTAGTCACCGAGGTCCGCTGATACTGAGACCTACAGAGTTGCAACTCGAGGCAGATTAACAAAGTGACGTAAATCATCCAAAGCTGATAAACCGGCCTGCGTGCCCTGACTCCACAGCTGATATCAGAGAACACGACTCAACGGAGCGACAGTGACAACATGACTCACACATTGTGTGCCGAGAGCCCACCATGTCGGGAGGTACTAATAAGAAATGAAAGTCGTCCAGTGAAGCATGCAGCCCATTGACAGCATTTAACTAGCTTTCTATTAGGTATAATAGGTGCCTTGCGATAAGTATTCGTAAATTACAGCCCATGTATTTAACCCGCGACCTGGTGGAGGGGGGGGGCTATTTTTTGCCCCCCCTCCAGACTTTTCGATATATCTCCAGAACCGCTGCGCCGATCGTCACCAAACTTTCAGTACCCTCCCGGACATCAATTTTACACATTATGACCAAAAATTTTTTCCAAAGGCTAAGATAGGTTGGCCGGAAATGACGTCAGAGTGACGTCATGTTCTGCCGTTTTCGACCAAAAAAAGGGTTTCGCGGGAAGAGCTGTCAGGCCTATAGCTTTGCAAATACAGAAAAATGATAGGGACATAAAAGCTGTAGAATTGACAGGGCTACAAAACTGCTATCTCGGATTTTTAAAATTTTTGGATTTTGATCCCCAAAAATCAAAAAATAGATTTTTTGGATATAATAGTCGAAAAATCCAAAAAGTTTTTTGAATTTCGCAAAAACCGGAATATACATATGTGATAGTCCTTACCTCCTTTCATCCACATACCAAATTTGAGATTGATACCTCTTTTTTTGGCGAAGTTATAGCGAAAAAACTGTTCAAAATTGATGACGTCAAATTTTCAAACCCAATTTTTAGCAATTCTAGACCCCGTAGCGCAAAACAAAGAACACCATTAGACTCCCCGTGACGAGCTGCATCGAATCAATACCCATTTTATGCAAAACTATCAACTTTAAAATTTGACCTTTTTTGGCCTAACCTTGACCTGACCTTCACCAGAAAGTGACCTAAGCCGTACCTGATAGTCTTATAACCAACACCATTGAGTTGGAAATGAAAAATTGGCCATAAAACATGCATCACACAACCTTAGTAAAATTGGGTTCATGTGACCTGACCTGTGACCCTTGGTGACCTGACCTGGGACCTGACCTGGTATTGTCAGTGACCTCTAATAGCAACATATCTACCAGTATAACGCCTTTTGGGGCGACTAACGGAGCGAGCGAGAGGGTGAGCCTTGCACGTGCGAAATTTCGACGGGGTACCTCCAGCTGACTTGTGCACGGCACCCTACTAACCGGTCTCTAGCGATGTGCCAAATTTGAGCACAATCGGCCCAGCCGTTCTCGAGATCTGGAAGCGGCACCCTGCACGTGCGCACGTGTAAAATGGGTCCCAACTGACTTTTGCACGGCACCCTACTAACCGGTCCCTAACCATGTGCCAAATTTGAGCGCCATCGGTCCAGCCGTTCTCGAGATCTGGAATCGACCCCTGCACGTGCGCACGTGCAGCAGCACCCCAACTCTGGCACATGGATATGCATTGCCTAGTGGGTGCCTACTTACATGCCAACTTTCAGCGCAATCGGCCAAGTGGTTACCGAGATATTGCAACAATTATAAAAGTGACACCTCTTCGTTTTGCACGTGGCACGTGCATAAGGGGTCAGCCACATGCATCATGAATAGTTCAATACTTGGTAGAAGGAATGAAGCTACCCTACAAAAATTACCGCGTGTAAATCGGTCAAGTGGTTGCTGAGATATAAGCCTCGCAAAAGCGTGACCACGGCCGGCCGGCCAGCCGGCCGGCCGGCCGCTCATACTCAGAAATTTCCGTTAATCTAAGGAAAGACTACGCTCGCTTCGCTCGCTCCGTAACTAGGCAACTGACGCCCTATCGCTGATTCTCGACAAAATGCGTTTTCCTTGGTGTTATAGCGCATTCCCTAGAAGACCCGTGAACGGTGAAACATTTCATCTTTGACCTGACCTGTGACGTCATCGGTGACCCCGAGGTCAATGAAATTTGGTTTCCCGAGACAAATTTGACAGGCCTTTCGAACGCCGTTTGAATTTTGCGGATCCGTCCAGTAGTTTCGGAGATACGAGGGGGGCAAAAAATAGCCCCCCCCACCAGGTCGCGTTATAAACAGACCCCACCAGGGCGCGGGTTAACACCACTCCGAGGCATACAACGCAAGACATATAGGTGGAAGTTGTCCAAGCCCAGGCTCCTTTCTGCTAGCACTGAGTTGCACCCATGTGTCACGAGTTGGACACCTCCCACTGAACCTCCTGACTGCTGAGGTCACGGGTCAGGTCAGAGGGTCACAGGGCATCCGGCATACCGAGAAACCAGGGCGACAAACGCTTTCGCTATATCTAACGTTTGGTCAGTCACCGTAATCAAATGCAATTGACAGCATGACGCTGCGTCGGCTGATAGATAAACACCAAGGGCTTAGCGGAGTTGTGTTGCCGCCAGGCGCCAATAAGAAGTCGTGTAGGTGTGATATCAATAAATTTAGTATTCGTTCCTCATAGGACAATAATACGAACAATATCCTGGAAATGCGACAACCAGAAGTCAGTCATAATTAATCAGTCCTTTCAGGAAATCTTGATTTTTAAGTCGATGTGGAGGTCATCATTTTTACTCCAAAGAAGAAGAAGATAAGCCGAAGCATAGCACCATAAATTGTTGAAGCCGCCGTGTGGTCAGACCGCGCCGTCTGCGTGGCGGCAGTTACCGGAGTGCATGGCCCACCGGACCGGCTGTGATGGAGGTGTACCTAACGGACGGACGGACGGGCGGAAACAGTGGTCGTCTCACTCGTCAGGAGCGATGGGTACCGATACCCCCCCCCCCCCTGACTAACGGGCGGCCCTCTGCGCCGGACACCCCTGCACGGAGCGGTGTGGGTGGGTGGTGATCGGGCCCGGGGCTATACACCGGGGAACGGCACACGGTCCCTCTCACCTCACCGCACCGGCCAATGGGCCTCAAACTGCGCCGCAGCTGGGATCCAGCTCCATAAATGTCATTGGATGCGCCGTGCTCACCGTGCACACGTCATTTAGAACATTCTCTATAATTCTATCACCGCAACTCTGGTCTCTGCAGTACCTATCCAACGCGGAAGCTTTTAGATGCAATATGCATCTCATCTCTGTCACATGCAGCCTGTCACATAGCCCGACTGTGAGTGGTGGGCGGCTGGGGCAGAGACGGCGCCCAGGACTGGATGTCCTTCGACCAGCACCGGTCAGCCGCAGCCTTGCGTCGGCCGGCTGAATTGCAGGGTGCGGCCCCAAACAAACGGCACGTGCCCCGGCTGGGGGGTCGTCCGGCCGCCGGGGCCGTGGCTGCGAGTGTGTAGGTACCGCGCCGCCCCACCGCCGCGCCGGCGCCCGGCCGCGCGTCCCCGCCGACCCCGTTCGCTCGGCACGGTAATGATGACCCCGGGAGATACGCCACGTCACTCGGCCTCCGCTCCGATCGCTGCGGGCCTCACACCGCGGCGGCGAAACGAAAGTGCTCATAAAACCGGAAGGCAGATCTTCTCTTCGAACGGCTTTTGTTTGGTTGAATAGCATTGCATACATTGGTCTGCATGTTAATTGTCTTTCATTGTTAGCAAATAGCAACAGTCTACAAATAGCGTCTATACGGCCCGGCGAACAGAAAATATGCTGGGCAGCAGAAAATGCTTTAAATTCCAGTGACTTTTCCCGATTATACCCGTGACTCTATGTCAGAGAATGTCGGCGGCGGCTGTTTGGTTGCCACATACTGAACGAAATGGGAAAACCGCACGGCGGCCGGCCGGACTTCCCTTCCGGCGTGGCCTACCTCGGAGAGACCGACCAGCCGGCACCGTTCTCAACCGCAGCACAGGGCCCGGTACCGCACGAGCGTTCAGCGACCCCCGCCATCGCCATCGGGGCGGCATGCAGAGTGTAGCCACCGACAGTCTGCCCGCAGCGCAGCGCCCCTCACCTGGCCCCGCGGCCCCCGCTGGCCGACACACCTGGACACCGGCCGCGCCCCTGCCTGGCCTCGGTGACCCCTGGACGGGTCCGGTCACAAGTCCGGCACCGATCACAGTCACTGGAACCCAGCAGACACGGCACCGCCGCCGGCGGCGACGGAAGATGTCTGCCCTCCCCCCCCCGCGCGCCGATGGCCCGTGGCAGCCGGGCGAGGCCCGTCGCCCGCCACCGCCGACTTTCTCCTTCGTGCCAGGCCCTGCCCGACGCGAAATGACGATACGATCGCAGGCCTGTGTCCTCCACAAGCTCTACAAACTAACAGCGCGACTCACCTGCGATCTACGTGGTATCGAGTCGTCTGAGTTCTAGTTGAAGTCGGATCGCATGCCGTTGGCGGCGCGGACCGCTGGGAGACTGCAGCGCGGCGGCGGACCACAACACCGGCAGCGCACCTGGCCGGGCGGCGACCGACTGACGGCGGCGCCAGTCACCAGGGCTGCCGTCTGCACCGTATCGCACACCCTCGGACCACCGCTGTCACGGCGCGCGATGATAGTGCTCGCGGATAGGCACAGCTTTATCCACAGATAATCAGCGAGCACCACTTCTGCCCGGCGCCGACTGGCCACTTCGGATTCCTCCGTCCGCGCTCGGTCGTCCCTGGGGCTCGGGATTACCTGCCCGTCCCACACTCGGCTACCGGGGCGATTAGTCTTAGGCTGCCATCTACCGGCAAAGTGTATACTGAAGCTTGTCAATTGGAGCGATCACTAGGTGTTCCTAACAGCGCATCGGCAAGTTTGTAGGTAACCATCTATAGCTTTAAAAGTCCACTGTCCAGGTATTGGTCCAGGTGCCCAAATGGAACCCAAGATATAGCGCTTGTTATCTACTTCGTTACTCGTACCAGAACGCTTGATGGTGAGCAACTACCTACCTAGGTACAGACGGAAATGCCTGGTGGCGAAAGCAAATCCAAATATTCAAATGGCGACTCGCGCCTGTGCTCACGGCGCAATACATGAAAATGCTGAGGCTGCCTGTAGTTGAAATATGATGGGAGCAGCGACTGCCAGTTGAAGTCGTGAGTGGGACAGACTGTGTCGGAATTTGACGAGTCGCTAAGCTTCAGCACCCTAATTCTCGGGATTAACAAACATTGCTCGCGAGCAGATCATATAAATTGAAACCTATTTAAAAGGTTTCGCTTTATTAGTATTTTTTCAGTACGGTAGCTCCATTTTTCATCGTTCATTCATAAATTGGAGGCTCGAACTTCCAAGTCCCACGTAGTTTGCATTTACAGTCTTATAAAAATAGTGGTCCTGTCTCTTCAAGGTTTGAGACATCTACAACGCTGTTACGACAGCAGTCAGCTATTCTTACTATTTGTTCTAATATTGTAGGAAACTATGACGTCATAAAAATTTGAAACCTCTGAAGATATATATATATATATATATATATATATATATATATATATATATATATATATATATATATATATATATATATATATATGCAAGATACCTATAAGAAACCTATAAGATACCTATAAGATACCTATAAGAAAGTATATATGGACGCGTGTATATCACACCACGGGGTGTTACAGAGTACAGACACAAAATACGGCCGGTGTGTGAATCACACCAAGTTGAGCTAATTACAATTTTACTGTCTGAGACTTCTGGGATCACTCTGTGCCTGTGTATAATCTCCACACACACACATCTCAAGTCGGTTACACGGTCATAGAATACTAGTCGGTTACTGGATTGGTTATTACCTAAAATTTTTACATGATTTCAAGCTACTTTTGGAATTTATTAGATGGCAGCTAAGAACTGCAAAACAAAAAATTGAAATGAAAGTTGTAGTCTAGATTTAATGCATTTTAAGCAAAAAAAATAGGATTAGATTTCAATGAACATTTAAATTTGATTTACTGATACCGGTGCGGTTTACCCGTTACAGTTGGTACCGGCAGTGATGCCAGCTTCACTGATATTGCAGAAAGCACATGCTAGATTAGGTGCTGCCAAAACTTAATGAAAATCAGAGCAGAGACCAGTTTTATCAACAGTAAAATAGCTGGTAAATGTCAAGTTTAAGTCCTAAGCAGATTTCATTGATAAATTTTTCATATTTTTGCATTATTTGAAATCCTGAATCCAAAAATGATACTCATATGTCTCGCAAATAAAAGAAAAAACAATCAAACCTGACCTAACCTTACCTACTTACCTATAACCTACCAACCTACAACCTACAAACCTACAACCTAACAACCTAAAACCTACAAACCTACCTACCTTCAACCTAAAACCTACAAACCTACAACCTAACCTAACCTAAAACCTAAATTTTTTGCTGTTACATATTTGTATCAACAGCATCACAATTGTAGTTAGGACCTAAACTTGACATATACCGCCTGGCGGATTTTTTTGCTATAGACTGCTAATTCACATACGGAGCGAGAACACGATAGGCACAAAAGCGGATAGGGCTTTACAGTTTACGCCCTGTATATGAAGCGGTCTTAAGCAAAAAATTCTGGCAGGCAGCTATTTTTCTGTTGGTAAAACTGATCTGAGAGGGCATTGAACTTTTGGCAATAATCATCCCAGATGCCGCAAAGCGCTGCTCACCAATGGAATTTTATATATATTTGAAATAAACATCAGTAAATAAAAAATATTATTGCAGTAGCTCAGCCATTACTGGGCCAATTGAGCTGAAACCTGGACTGTTGACAGACACTCGCCATACTATAAAATTAATCTAAGCATACAGTCATCACAAAACCTGACAAAGTAGACATTTCTAAAACACTTTGTTGTGTTTGCAATCATGCTGAGATCCTCTGGTAAAATACCAATATGCTTATTGTAGTGTAGGCTGTAGTAGAGTAGTATGTGATGTTGAATTGGACAATAAAGATACCTAATACAGTTAACAATATAAAAGCAGCTGAAGCAGTGTAATCTGACAGTTATGCTAGTAGGAGACACACACTAGTCTGTTGACTGTTGCGTGTCAGGGCTGAGAAAGCTTTGACATTCTGGGCCTTTGGAGGGTCTGGAACACCACAACTCCAACAGAGTATGCCACAAACTTAACAGCAGGACATTTCTGGAAGATTTCCTTGGAAGTTTCTGGTTTCATCATAAAGCTAGGCATTGTTAAATTTCATTAAAAATTTGATAATCCTCTTTAAAGAAATGGACCAATTGATATACCACCTCTGCTGGATTTTGATAGCTAGTGGCTGCCAATTGCCATACAAGAAGACTGCAGTCTACAAGTGATACGGCCACAAAAAACTGCAAGGGCCTAATGTATTTATTCACTATTTCTCTCAGTAAACCATGAGGCACATGGTCCACAACTCTGGCTGTAGGTACCCAGAGTCTGTATATACAACCCAGAGTTTAAGACTGGCTCAATCCTTTAAGCATGTTTCTAGCAGGAGTTTCCTTTAGAGAGTACCTGCATGTATCAGAGCTGAAGATCGGAGACTTTGTTTATGTAGGCATGTGTAGTTTAGACATTGAACAACATGCATAGTGCAGATGATATTACAAACATATTACAAACATATTACATATTTTTCCTGTCCCATAGCTCAGTTGGTAGAGCATTGGACTCCCGGGAGTGAGAGCCCGGGTTCGAGACGCTCCGGCGCTCGATATTTGAGAGTCCTGACGGGGATGGTTTGCGGTTGGTGGGAGCAGCCGCAGCCAGTTGAAGTCAGTTGAGTGGGGCAGGCCGTGTCCGGCTTTGAAGGGCACGTTAAACTTTGGCATCTAAATTATCCCGATACCCGGAATTGCGCGATCGGACGGTAAGGGTCGGGGTCTACGCAACAAGCTCTGCTTAGCGTGGGCTCCGGCTCTGTCAATCCGTCCATTCAAACATTCGAGCTAAATTTATTTAAAAAAAATTGTTACTGGTATGTATTTTTATAACAATTTATTTTGGATATTGTACAGTTTTTTTTTTCTTGGACTGTTATCACAAAACCTAACCTTGAACATATATTGTCTTAGCAAACACTCAGACACCAAGCTAACTAGATGGAAACCTCAGGCATCATTGGAACATGCCTCATGAAATGCCCTGAAAGTGAAGTAAAATGGTAAGTCAAAGAATTTAAACAATATGTCTAAATTTTTATGAAATGATATTGAAAAGACAAATATGCTTTCACCACATAAATTGCAAGCTTTTCACCTATAATAATTCAGGAACATACCTATTGTGTGTGTGGGGGGGGGGGAGGTGCACCCTACCCATTTATTCAGAGTAGGTATAGGTAAATTTGTGCATTGATAGAGGCTAACATATGTAGGTACCTACCTATCTAAAATTCCAATAACATAATAGTTGATAATGACATAATGTATGAGATAGTGCTAATATGTATGCCGAATTCGTGACTTTTTTTATTTTATGGTGCATTATCGGCTCGTCGAGGCGCCAGCGTGAGCGGCTCATCCACCTTTTGGAGGCGGACGAAGCTACAGTTAGCGGTCCGGCCGGCAGGCGGCGCGCCGATCGGGACCGGATGATCAAGAGTTTCGAGCGATCGGCGGCGGGCCGGCCGGTGAGTGAGCGGCGCTGCCTGCGGCCGCCGGCCGTGCTGCTCGAGACCGTCGGCTACGTCTTCCACAGGTCAGTCCCGGGCGGGTCCCTCAGCAGTCGGTCCTTAAAAGGCAGCATGGGTCTGAAAAAAGGATCTAGGATCTGATCCAAATTTGATGTATCACTTAGGTAGAAGTATTTTCCATAGTTCACAGTCAACCTGCTGCATGTGCTAAGACCTGCACCGATTGGAAATCCGTGTCTTTTGTCTTTACGGCATACGATAGGATCACATATGCACTATGCAGCATATGTTTTCCCGTGATATGACCTGCATTTGCACACGTATCTTGAGATCCACTAGGATCACAGATTAGTCACTTGGATTCACGCGCAATGCACATGCCTGATACCGACCTTTCCCGGGTCGTCAACTTTTTCTTTGAAATGGGCTTTGGCAAAAACAGCTTGATGCGTGATAGATTTACATGATCCGCCACGATCTGATGAGTCCTGGGCGTCATCCATCGGCCTGTTTTGAATATGTGCTGCTTTGGGATAATACATGTTCTTGAATGATAAAGAACTTTACCAATTATGTAAATAAACTTATCCAAAGCCCGATCCGTTGTCTCCACGACGGGCAGCTCACTACATTTGGAGGCTGGCTGATCTATCCAATATGGCAATAAGGTAAAATTACCAATGAGCATCAATGGGTTAGTGAATAATAACATATGAGGTGATATCAAACAAGTACCTAATTTGTAAAATCAATCCGAATAGAACGCTTTCAACCAAAACTGATCCAGCCTGCCCCGCTCTCCCCTAGTTTTTGTGGTCCCGGAGCCGGTATTCCTTACTCGGTTGATAATAGCGTGATGGTTTGAAATGATGGACTGACAGAGCCGGAGCGCATGCTACATTTGCAGAACCTGTTGTGGACGCCCCGACCCTTACCAACGGATCGGGCACTTTGGGATGATCGGGAGAATTTTGATGCAAAAGACGCTCATCAAAGTCGCCTACGGTCCACCCCCTCATTTGCATCAACTGTGTGCGGCTTCTCCCACCTACCGCAGCCTACCGCAGGCTAACCCCATCAGGAGTCTCATATCGAGCGCCGGAGTGACTCGAGCTTGGCTGTAGCCACCGGGAGTCCAATAATCTACCAACTGAGCTAGGAGACGGACGAAGTATAAAAATGTCATGCACCATAACCCGGAAAAATTGCCAACTCTACCCTGCCGTCTCCCAAAGTGGCTCGGCTCGGCTTCCGACCTGCACGGGGTCCCTGGTTCTGCCAGTGTTTTGTTGGAATATGATGCAATCAATGTTCGTAGCGACACGTGGTAGGCGGCAATCGAAAGAGCGTCAAAAATAAGCAAGAAAACACTTCGGTCATTTTTAAGGTCAGGTCAAAGGTCAGGTCACCAGAGGTCATCAAATGTAAAATCTAGGCCATTTCAATAATTTTGGAAACTGCCGATCGCTAACTCGGGAACCAATTGAGCTACAGCGCCGCGGAAAAGCGCATTCGATAGCCCTTTTACAGACCTTTCTGAGTGATTTCTCAGATTTGACCTCAGATCAACGGTTTAGCCTTCAGAGGGCAAAAACTGTGAAAAAAACGTTTTCACGAAAAAAATGTTTTTCGGCAATACTTGTTGACTCAAGAGAGCCACAACATTGCTTTTGCCAGCATCGTGTTCCTCTCGTCGAGACGCTTCGAATGAACTATGTGTTGACCTTGAAAGGCCATTTTGAAAATTTGACCTCAGGTCAAGGTGATGACCTGACCGGAAAGGGTTATGTTGCATATCAATCGATCCGTATCGTCGAGCTGAACACATCTGACGTGTTTTCACCGCTCTAGCACGTCTCTCAAAAGTTATAGCCAAAAAGCTGTTGCTGACCGTTCATGACCTGAGATGACCTCAGGGGCATACAGAGGGGTCACAGGTGCATTTTTCCGTTTCAGTGTGTCATGTTTACGTGTGGAACGATGTTTGAGAGCGTTTTGAACGACATTCGTTCAATAGAGGCGCATTTCAATTTTCTCCCATTCGCAATAATTGGCCTGACCTTAGGTCACATATATAAAAAGTCCGAGATATACAATACATTTTATACATACTGTTACTCATATCAATCCGTGAAAGTTTCAAAGTGATCGTTCAGTCGGTGTAGCTTCTAGCTATAGCGAGCCTTTAAACTTTTTCTGAGGTAAGGTTACTTGAAGTGACCTGGTGACCTGATCTTGAACGACCCGGGTCTGAAATTTTCGCAACGTCTGCGGAAATGATGTATAAAGAGGTTTATCAACGTTTTTGAGATATTCGCGAAAAACCTGGGGGGGGGGAGTTTTTTAACCCAGCACGGCGCGGGTTAAACGTACGTTTAAGCGTTAGTTTAAGCGGTAGGTTTTGCCTTTTTGCATTTGCGGTTCTATCTCAGAAACTAATCGATATACGATGAAGTCATTTTAGAGGATCATGGTAGGCATGTATAGTGTATACGAATAAATCGATCGCATCTTTAACCCTTAAAAGCTTATGACGAAGAAGATATAGACAAAAATTTACTGAATTTCATAGGGGCAAAACCTACCGCTAAAACCCGCGATGTATGTTTGTCACATCGCTTCGTAGATGACAAGCTGCGAAGATCTCGTTTTCGACCACACCATTAGACAAGTTTTGAGATATGAGCCGTAATGCGAACATGCGATAAACAAGTCTGAATTGCCCGCACGTGTGGTGCCAAATTCCAGCGGGCTTGTCAACCCCCTCACAGTGAAAGCCGCGGGACAGGGAGTCGGAGGGCGTGAGCTCGCTGGCCGACTGATGACTGTACTGCGATTGTATCCAGTCTGTGGTGGACGCGCGTGTGGAACCGCTGCACTGTTACGAAATGAGCGGTACGGAGGCGGCCGGCGGGTCTGCCGACTACAACTGGATTTGGGAACCGGGCCGGCACGTGGGCTAACGCGGGGCGATACACCAGGGTGACGTATATCTCACTCTGGGAGTGATGGAGCAAGTCGGTATAATAACCTTCAGTGACGTAATGGCTGGTCCCGGCGCGACACAGACGCGTCAGAAGTAATCTGTCCCAGCAGCAGTGGGATTGGCCTCTCCTGACACTCAATACCGTGTCGGAGGGGCCGAAGGAAGGATGACGCCGCTGTCGCTATAGGGCTGACGCTGACTGGGCGGCATGACGCGACACGCGGCTGCGCCTCTCCACATGTGGCTCATTGTGTGTTGTTAGCATGTAAGCATGTTGCTCCGGTTTTTACCGGCTGTATATTATCCAACTCATTCGTTGAGCAAGTTGGTCAGCACTTTGTGGCGCCTCTTTTCGCTGTCTGCGCCAAATGCTGGGTCGGTGGCGGCGTGACACCTCTGCTTTGTCGAAGCTGGTCCATCTACGTTAGTTCACATACCAAGGAAACTAAGAGAGGAGTGCGATGAACTGATCTGGACATTATAACTTCCGCTGCTGTCTTTATCCCTATAAATGGCTTGTGGTCACTACTCCTGGTCAATCGAAAGACTCATCGACCTCTTCTTTTGATTGGTTAAACGCTCACCACGTGTATGGTAAGGTGCCTAATTAGCGACTCCCTAAATTTGAACCGTCACTGCTCACACTCTATGGATGCTACTGTACCTATTACTGGCATTATTTTCGGATAGATCGTTCATTTTTCTATTTAAATATATTCATAGTCTCTCCCAATATCCACTAATTTATTTGTAGTGAGCATTTTAGCAAACCGTTGCAAACAAAAAACGCTTATAGAGAACTCGTTCCCGATTAACGACCGGGGAGGGTCGCTAAGGTCTATGGGTTTTCCCATAATAAAAATGGTACAAAAAGCGACGCCCGAAAAGTTGAAATATGATACCCAAAAGGCAACATATACCCAAAGCACTCAATCACTAGAACAGGAGCGTTTATCCAACACCTTTATGAAGATGAAAACTGATCAGTGATCATGTGATGCCCCAAATGCGAACAGAAGGCAAAAACCCAAATTTTGCGGGCTATCTCGTATGATTTTCGGGAATCGGGACCCGCCTTGGATTCGGCACCCCTGCAGTCGGTGACGACAGTTGCCATCACCTGCCACACATCGCAAGCTTCAGCAACATCTCATTTTCATTTATCTCTTTTCCTCTTTCTTTCCCTTATCAAGCTATTTGCGACCATGGCCTCGTTTTATAAAGCGAGTCCGTAACTTACGCCAGTTTTTAGGCTGATATTGCAAGCTTATGTGAAGCGATAAATTTATTTCCCCTTCTCCCTTCTGTTCTTGCTTGCAAGATAAATAAATTCAACTATTCAAACTATCGACATCGCTTCACAAGCACTTGCAATACAAGACCAAAAACCGGCGTAAGTTACGGACTCGCTTTATGAAGCGAGGCCCATGTCGGGCGCAAATAGGAAATGTTGGTTGCGATACATTTTTAACCACCATGCAGTGCACAGTTAAGCGATTCACTACGGGAAAACGGCAATCAATTGAAAAAGGATTGCCGATTCAGAATGCCTGAAACAGGTGCATCGTCTTCATGTGCATCGCTTTTCAGCAGATAGGGTCCAAATACATACGTTTTGGATAAGAAAATGGCCATTTTTATCTAAACTCTCCTAGAACGTCCCACCAGAAGCATCGACAACCGGAAAAGAATTAAGTTTGATAACCAAAGTATGGCAGACCTTTTGGCATTGTTTTCACCCCGATTTCTCTTGCCAGGTTTTCTTTAGAGAGGTAGGTCGCAAATAGGAAAGGGCCGCTAATTAGGCACCTTACCCTACGCGTGGCTTGCGCGTGGCGTGCTACAGCTGTTGATCGTTGTCAAATGTCAAATACAGCTGTCCGTACAGGGTGTCTCAAAAGTTCGTTCACAGGTACCAGCCATGCTTTTTTGTCAATAATTCTGAATCAACAAGAAATTAACAGTCGAAATTTTGCATGGGCATTGGTGACAACCTTCCTCAAGCAGTCTCATTGTTTTCAAGTGCATTCGACCCTTCATGAGCTCACAAAAAGGGTTCACCTCTGACCATGGGTCAGGCACGAAAATGTAGGTTGCAAAGTCGGGTATGTTGTGAAACTCTCTGTTTCAGGAGTAATGAGAATGGTTAAGTCGGAAATGACACATGGCTAAGTGTCGGCGAGGATGAGTGCAACATGATGATCATCTCATAAAAACGGTGGCTAAAATTTTTGAAGGACGAAACCATGCGAGACTAACGGCGTTTTGAACGACCCTCGCACGACAGCAGACTCGTGTTCCGGAAAGTAGCTGAAAATGCGGTCATAACTATTGAAAACTGGCAAGAAGGTCGCAGACAGAGGTTACCCATTTTCAAAAAGTGCAGGTCATCGTAAAATAAAGACAAATTATAATTTAAAATTGTTTATAATATCTATAACGCTAATTTTTGGGGACAATAACACAAAAATCGTCAATGCCAAGGACACCTGACCCTCCAAAAGTGTCAGTTATTGTAAAATTTTATCTAACGAAGTTTTAAGAGGCAGATCTGCAGCGAATAATTTTCTTTTAAACACAAAATCCCGATAAAACCACACGATGGACAGGTTTGGGCCGTTAACAAAGCAGAACATCTCCCGAGGAAAACACTCCGCAACCGAGCGAAGGTCTTGGCATGGGGAATGACGAGCGCTTGGAATTTGCAAAATTTGCACAATGTGTCTGAGAAACAGACGTCCGACACATTCTGCTACCATATGATGCGAAAAATTTACTCCTGGCACTTCCCCTTCGTTCAGGACTGGGGTCGTTTTGAAAAGGAAAATGGCGCTTGGGATGTCGGCGCCAGTCATTCATGAAGGAGTTAGCGCCAGAGAATGCCTACAAAATACTCAAGAATGGTGTCGATGCAAGCTGTCGGCTTTCAGGGAAAATCAGATGTTGCCGGGGAGCTAGTCAAAACTAAATCCGACGCAGAAACTGCAGGGGATTCCCCTGCAAGAGCTTGAAAGCTGGTAACCTTTTATCAGCCTCCGGCAGCTGACGGAGCAACAAAAATCGGTATGGGCAAATATTTTTGGAGATACAGCAAAGGGGTTGGTTTCCAACCTTCTTAATCAGTTGTCAAAGCATGCATATTTGTCTAGTGTACACACAGACACCAAAACCTTATACTTTTGACCGGTTCTTATATGCTTTATTGGCATGGGAAATGTGTGAACGAACTTTTGAGACACCCTGTATACCTGATAAGTGATACCCTGCAGGTATTCTGGCTTTTTTATGTCCATCGGGCCGGGGGGACTTTCGCACCATATAAGGCAGCATAAGTGTGTTTTTAATGCGATTTAAAACACGCTTCGCTTCTAAAAGTGACCTCAAGTAGGCGTGTGGCTCTGACCGGGCACGTGGTGACACAGGTCAGTGCACCTGTACAGTGTACACGCACAGGTCTGCGTCTGGGCGGAGCGCGGCGCCCTCCTCAGCTGACGTCATTCAGGGCTCGATGAGCGGCCGGCGCGCCGCCGGCGCCGTAGTCGGCTCCCGCCTGTCGTGCCGGACAGTGGGAACAGCTGACCGCTCCAGCGGCCCCTCACACAGTCCGTCGCCGCCATGACTGTCGGCGTGCCGCCGGCGGCGTCGAAGCCGGCAGAGGATTCAGTCGGCGGCGGTCAGCGCGCGCTGACCTACCTGCTGACGCTTCTGAGCGCCGTCAGCTACCTGCTGTTTGGCTACGACACGGGCGTGGTCTCGGGCGCGCTGCTACTGGTCCGCGAGGACTTCCAGCTGAGTGACCTGTGGCACAGCTCGATCGTCTCGGTGGCCGTGGGGGCCGCCGGCCTGGCCGCGCTTGCCGCCGGACCGCTGGCCGACCGCGCCGGCCGTAAGCCGGTGATTCTCGGCGCGGCGCTGCTGTTCGTGGGCGGCGCGCTGGCCATGGCGCTGGCCGCCGGCCCGTGGTCGCTGCTGGCCGGCCGACTGCTGGTCGGCCTCGCCATCGGCCTGTCCAGCACCACGGTGCCCATCTACATCTCGGAGGCGGCTCCGGCGGCGGCGCGCGGCACCCTGGTTACCGCCATGACCTGTGTGGGCACGCTGGGCACCGTGGTGGCCGGCGTGACGAGCGGCGCGCTGTCCGGCGTCCATGAGGGCTGGCGCTGGATGTTCGGCCTCAGCGCCGTGCCGGCCACCCTGCAGCTGATCGGCTTCGGTCTGATGCCGGAGTCGCCGCGCTCGCTGGTGGCTCGCGGGCACGACGAAGCCGCCAGAGATGTGTTGCGGCGCATCCGCGGCCCCGGCGCGAATGTGGACACCGAGCTGGCCGCCATTCAGAGCGACTTTACGGCACAAGAGGCGCTGAGGCAGACCGCTGAGGCGGCCGGTGACGGCGGAGGCTGTGGCGGCACGGTGCTCGCCCGCGCTGTCCGCGACCCGATCGTGCGGCGGGCGCTGGTCACCGGCTGCTGCCTGCAGCTGTTCCAGCAGCTCTCTGGGGTCAACACGGTCATCTACTACAGCGCCAGCATCATCACGATGGCGGGCGTGCGCGACCCGTCCACGGCCATCTGGCTGTCCTCAGTGGTGAACGCGCTGAGCCTGCTCTCCAAGCTGGCCGGCCTGGCCGTGGTGGAGCGCGCCGGCCGCCGCCGCATCCTGCTGAGCAGCACTGCCGGCTCGGCGGCCGCGCTGGTCCTGCTCGGCGTCGGCTTCCAGCTGAGCGCGGCCCGCTCGGCGCCCGTGAGCCTGGCGCCGCTGGCCGCCGCCTGCCGCGCCGCCACCTGCGACGCCTGCCAGCAGTTCGACTCGTGCGGGTTCTGCTTCCAGGACCTGCCGGGCGGGCCGGCCAACGGCTCCTGCGTGCCGCTCACCGCCGCCAACAGCTCGGCGGCGCTGGGCCGGTGCGCCGAGCCGGCCGCGCTGGGGCTGGACGGCCTCACCTGGGCGCCCGACTGGTGTCCCACCGACTACGCCTGGCTGCCCATCACGGGCATGTTCCTCTACATCACCATGTTCTCTCCGGGCCTGGGCGCCATGCCCTGGACCATCACGGCTGAGATATTCCCGCTGTGGGCGCGGAGCCGCTGTAACGCCGTCACCACGGCGGTCAACTGGTGCTCGAACCTGGTGGTGTCGCAGACGTTCCTGGTGCTGATCGCGGCCGTCACGCGCCAGGGCGCCTTCTTTCTGTTCTCGGGTCTGACGGTGATGGGCTGGGCCGTGTTCTACGTCACCGTGCCGGAGACGAAGGGCGTGCCGCTGGAGCGGATCGGGACCCTGTTCACGGAGCCCGTGGGACTGCACGCGCCGCGTCCCAGTAACAAGGTGGGGCCGGAGCAGGACCCGACCGGTCCGCGGCCGGCGGCCTGCCCTCAGCTGGAGCCGCCAGCAGGCACACCGTGACGAGACCTGCCGCGAGGTGGCCGCTCTTCGTCTCAGTGAGGCGAACTGCCCCAGGACAGTGGCGGATCCAGGGGGGAGGGGCAAAATGGGCATTTGCCCCCCGCCCCCAAACGGCATAATTTTAACATTACGCCTATGGACGATGCATGGAAAGAATCGATAAATTTTATGGTTTGCCCCCCCCCCCCCAAAAAAAAAACTCTGAGCTGGATCCGCCTCTGCCCCAGGAGTAGTGATATTGACGTGAAAATGAGAGCCGAACATTGAGGACACGTGGCCCTCAATATCGCTATTGGTTTGTTCAAAAGACCTATCTTAAGCTGGTTATCAATGTCCCTGCAATCAGCGCTCGTTATATAATGCACTCTAGAATAACGGTGGCGCTTAGTTTTAGTGTAGGAGACCTTGCAGATAGGACAGCCACCGTTCTAAAAATGCGCCCTTGACAACGATCAAATGATAGCAGGCAATGTCTTGAACCGTTATATGCATTCTTCTGTCATAGTCCTGAATATGTTGACAAGACAAAGTTGAATATTTTGCTACACTGTCACGCTATATCAGGTCGTGTTGTGAACAGACACATGCAGGTACCGTAAGGTGCACTTATGTAGGGAAGTTGATCTATATAGCATAATTGCTATAAGAATGTTAACGGTTAACGGTGAACGAGAGGTGGCTGGGGCCTGGGGGTGTATACGACGATTGTAGGGATCTTCGACTTGTGGATTGTGATCTTGTTATATGTGTCCTTAGTACGGGTACTAAGAACTCTTTTTAAGTGTTCATTTGATACATGATTAGTATTTAGGTGTGAAATTGTGTAGCAACATTGTCGAGTCTACACCTTTTTTCCTTCAGTTTGAAAAAGTTGTAGCTCAATTTGAAAAAGATGTAATTCAATTTGAAAAAGGTGAACTTCAATTTGAAAAAGATAAAATTCATTTTGAAATGAAATAAATTCAAGTTGAAAAAGATGAAATTAAATTTGAAATAAAGTTCAATTTGAAAAGAAACCATGTTGAATAACTTACGAGTACCTAGGTAGGGGACAGTGCCAAAATTGCGCCATGCCTAGCTTAATGAACTATTTCTCGTAAAGGGATGGGTGGAGAGCTGGTTAACGTCTTCTAATTCGTAATTTGATAAATTTGCTATAAAAATGCCCTTACCACACTTCTTAACCCGCGAGTTGCTGGGGGGGAGGGCGTTAAACGCCCCCACTTTTTTCGCCGGGCCATAGCATAAAAACGGCGCGCCGCAGGCGCGCCAAATTTTGAGTACCTACCTGTAGGGAATTGATTGAAGTTTATTGTGACAAAGTTTCAAAAAAATCGGTCGGAAAATTTTTGAGATATCGAGGTTTTAGTGGCGTCATGATTTCTGAGTTTTCGACCAAAAACGGCATATGTTCAAAAAATCATATAAAATCACAGAATAGACATACAGACATGCCGTAAACGCCATTAGACTGCCAATACCATGAACAATCAAATGGCTATCTTCGACTATTGATTATCGTTCCGCATTTTCCAAAATCTTGAACTGAATCTTGGCAATTTCTCGTGACTACTTCACGACCATGATACATTAATTTCTTAAATTGAACTTTTTGAGCCAAACACGTACACATATGATAAAATGAATGTCACCATCGTGTTCTACGCCCCAAATTACCCATAAAACATGTGTCACAGGCTGCGAATATCAGTTTTGATTTTTGGGGATATGTGCCTACCCGGTTGACCTGACCTTGACCCTGACCTATGCTTGACTGACCCCTACATGGAGCTGACACTCTTGTAGGCCTTATATGATGGATTGTGCACCGTTTTGACAGAGTTTATGACGAGAGGCGCCCATTGCGAAGTCCGGAAGTCAATGCTACTGAAAGCCCGATTTCAAATGTTTGACCTGACCTTGACCCGACCTGTGACCTCAAAATTCAACTTTAAAGTACTCATTTGAAGCGTCTCGTCGCGTTCTTTCGTTTGCCGCCTCGTGCGTTTCGCTGCGCCTATTGGTTCTCGAGTTATCGGCTGGGGGCGTTTAACGCCCCCCCCCCCCCCCAGCAAACGGTGGGTGGCGAAATACCCCAGCAACTGCCGGGTTAAATCAGCCGCGAATTTTATATTGATTTTCTAGTAGGAACCCTTGCAAAAGGCTCAGTTAGGGCACCCCTGCCCTAAAATCGCCAGACCTTGCCCCATTTGCGCCACCATCTAAAGATCCCTCTCAAAAGCAGATTTTGAATAACTAAGTCACCTCAAAAGTTATTACAGACGATTTCCGCATCCATAAATTAAGCAAGGCGATTTTTTGTAATTTACTTTTGATGACAGCATCACCAGTTCTCTGGACACTTCTACAAGGTGTCCAGAATGGGTCCGCCTGAAGGTGTAGTGTCCAATTGTCCATACATCTGGACGCAACTAATCGGCGACCAAAATCACACGTCACAAATCACGGAAGCCATTTGCTGAGCATGTCTAATTGTCTATACAGAACTGGTGGCTTTACCCATTACACAGTGCATATTGCAAATGGGCCACTCGACAGGTGGCGCAAATATAGGACAATGGCAGCGTTTTAGCGTTACTCTTCATGTCTGGCAAACAAAGGCTTGTTTCAATCCATTTTCATGGCAGAAAATCGGAGAAATAAGCGCTTTTGAAGCGCAAAGTATGTATTTTTAGTATTTGCTTCAATCCAAGAATTTTCATCAATAATATTCATGGGTACGAGCACACTATATGTAGTGTGTTCTCATCCGAGCCCGATACATTTCAAAATGAATTATATCTTTTTCTATTTGTATTTTAACTATTTCAAAAAGAATTTCATCTTTTTCAAATTGAAGTTACCTTATTTCAAATTGAAGCACAACTTTTTCAAATTGAACTGCATCTTTTTCAAATTGCGCTTCAACTTTTTCAAAATGAAGGAAAAAAGGTGTAGTGCGTCGAAGAGCATCGTGCGATATTGTTTATTACCTGTCCGCAAGCAGTTGTCGCCTCGACCATGAACGGTTTTTCGCGTGTGCCATTTACCGTAAAAAGATTATTCACGTACCTATGTGTTTACCATGTGCTATTTTGGTGCGTATTTATCCTTGAGAAATGATTAATGGGAATAAAACAAACACTGAACATCTTCCCGCATATTAAACGATTGGTAATTGCTTGTCTTTTGCATCGCGGTCTCCAGCTCGCAGGCTGCCCGCCTGCCCGTGTTCCGGGTATTCCGTGGCGGTCGTGACTGAACATTCGGATTTGTGTAGGGGGATCTTCTGCGCCTCGTTACATGGAAGTTCAATTGGAATGGACTATTTGCTCATTGTTGGACTAGGAAATCCAAGAAATTTCTCAGCGATACCGATCTTTTCCTGATTCATCAGAGACTGGTTCGGAGCATTGTATGGGTATCCACTTTGTAGTGCTTCGGCCAACCTTAACTGGATATTCGGGACACCTCGGTTCCACTTGAAACCAGTAGCGGCGGAAAACCTTCAATTAAGGGGGAGGGGGCACTGCCGACTTTTGGTCCCATTCTTTCCATGCAACGCCCATAGGGCTAATGTTAAAATGCCAAAATCAAAGGGGGGCACGGTGCCCCGGTGCCTCCTCATCCGCGCCCCCGTTCCGCCGCCTATGCTTGAAACCTGCAAAATTCACAAATCAGAGCGCTCTGATGTGGAGAATGCGGGTCTGAAACCGTCCGGTGTTACGGATACCGTTCATTTAGCCCGCATTGGTTCGATTAGAAAACTCGGGTTGCCAAGATGATAGGAAAACCAAGGTTTAGCTTGGCCCGACGCGGTCATGGTGACTTGACTAATGACCGCCCTGCTCCACTGAAGTACTGTTGCGGCGCCACTGACATGGAATTGGACAATGGACATCCAATTTTTCCTTGGTGCTCCGAAGCTTTCACCTAATCAAGGATGTTGCCATGTCCTCATTTTCCTAACACATCTACACTTTCCTAAAATTGGCCATGCAAGACAGCGTCGAACAGTAAAAATGCGTTTACTGAGAACTTGTCACCGGACATAATTACAATACACATGCAGCGGCGTAACTGCTCCATAGTCCATGGTTGATGCAGGCACATGACGTGCTGCTTTTTATGTACTATAGGTGAGCGTTTGCGGCTCGCTTAGCACAGTTCCCTTCCGTGCAGTGCACTGTCCCTCTTGTGCTCCGCTCAGTGTAAGTACTGACCCCGTGTGCTGCCCCAGTGTAAATACTGACCCCGTGTGCTGCCCCAGTGTAAGTACTGACCCCGTGTGCTGCCCCAGTGTAAATACTGACCCCGTGTGCTGCCCCAGTGTAAGTACTGACCCCGTGTGCTGCCCCAGTGTAAATACTGACCCCGTGTGCTGCCCCAGTGTAAGTACTGACGGCCGTCTGCCCTGCAGTGTGCTGCCCCGCGCCGAGTCGGTCGGCTGGCCGGCCGTGTACGCGTTCTGTGTGGACCGTCTGCGCGCGGTGCGCCAGGACCTGACCGTGCAGCAGGCGGCCGGACCGCAGGCGCTGGCTGTGCTCCGGCGCTGCGCCCTCTTCCACCTGTACGCCGACTACAGGTCAGAGCCGCAGGAGGGAAACTGATGGGGCAGTACTCAGTACAGCTGACCTGGACAGCTGGGTTGTGCAGTTGGCGGTCAAAGGCGCAGAGGGTGTATACTGCAGGTCGGTCCACACAGAGGGGGTTGGGGGGGGGACGAGGCTACAGGTGCGAGCCGCAGCCCGCAAACGGGACGTGCTACACCGTACACGGGGTGGTCAGCCCACAGAGGGGGGGGGGGGCAGGACTTCAGAGTCAGAGATTAAATCACCAGTTTCCCTTTTTCGTCGTGCGGTGGCGCTGAGGACGGGAAGGCTCGGATAGAACCTTTGCCATTTTCCAACAGATGGCGTGGTAATCATTTCCACAGGCTGGCCAGCTGCACGGTGTCTCGCATAACGACTACAGTGTTAAGAAATTGTCAGTGATGCAACACTGGGTGCTGCCTCCACTGTGAAGGATATGATCTTATACTAAGCAGGGGTATGTGCATTCTAAATAAATGTCTTTATAATTTCTGGAAAGGAACACATATGAACCGTCACATCCACAGAACCCCATCCCCTGTGTAACAGGTCCCGGGACTGTCCGTTGGACGTGTTTGACCGGCACATCAACACGCGCCAGCTGCAGGAGTGCCTGCTGGGGGTGCTGCGACTGCAGCAGGCGCAGCCCGACGGCCCCACAGAGCTGTGTGAACGGTTCGAGGCCGTCCACCTGCTGACCAGCCTGCCGCACGAGCGGCGGATGCACGAGCGCTGGCTGCGGCCCACAAACAGGTGAGCTGGCCGGGTCACGGTAAGGATGTGAACAGGGACGGGATGGTGTATGTACTTGCAGTGCGCCTGTGACTTGTATTGAGTTGGAAATCACGTCAGGGTGTTAATGTGAAGTTTGGTTTGTACATCTTTTTAGCCGCCGTGTAACTCGGTTTCATTGTATTTTATTCCCTACGAATGCCCCTGAGAACCCATTGAACACACTGTTTGCTTGTTTGGTAATGGCTGACTTTTTTCAGGGATCTGCGGCTGGCCCTGGAGTTCCGGAATGCCTGGGAGCTGGGTAACTTTGTGCGAGCCTGTCGGCTGGCCGGCGAGATGTCGCCGCTGCTGCAGCTGGCCGTGTACCGCCACCTCGCCGCCCTCAGACAGTGAGTGTAAAGGCCGATCTCGCCCACAGAGGCCAGACGCCGTATAATGACGAGACGGCTGGCCAGTGACGCCAGATGACGTCACGGCTGCCGATGGCTTTATTGGACCGCTGTCTTCATGGCCCGACAATATGGGGCGAATTTGACTGATTGCAGCTATATGGTGTTTGACAAGAGGCTGGGGGTCTATGGCCTGCTATTCACTCAGTGTGGGGTTTCTGTTCACTCGCTAAATGTGGTCTAAGATCGTAATGCTCGAAGGATAGGAACTGATAACTTAAAGCTGACATAATTGTCACCACTTGCATATGATGTAATAGTTAGTGCACTGGACCCTGCGTTATGCTCATGTTTAAGTGAGCTCAGATATTTCTCTTTTCATAGTCTACGTTTTACCTCATTATTTGAGAACATGTTTTCACGTTTGCAGTGTCCCAGCGCCTCTCCTTTTCAGGCTGACATCGTCAGACCTACTGAAGGGTCACGTCATATCCCATGTAGGAGCTTCCAGTTCGGTCCCTTCGTCATGTTCGTTTTGCTAAAACGTATAAAGAACGTGCTCCCCCGGATAACATGTGCGGCCGCAGCTCTACACTATACACTTGTACAGTATAGATACACAACTCTCTCTGGACCACTAACTGTCACAATAGTGGTTCACTATATTATCCAGCTGGTATTCAAGCTAAAGCTGGGCTCTTAGTGCACTCAATCATCTGAACTAAGTGTTATTGATTTGATGGCTGTGCTTGTATCATTGTTCTCGGGCTAGCGGCCCTATACCGCAAAGGGGCACCGCATTGAGCGGTATGACACGATTGCATCAGCGTGCAGTCTTCTCGGGACCGTTTCGCAATGCGTCTTTGATAATACGGCGTATTGGATTTCATTGTTCAGAGTGTCTCAAGTGCCATGGAAGCTCGCTCGTTATTGATTTCGCTTTCGCTAGCATGGTTTACCTGAAAAGTTACAATTGTTTGGTCGAAAACGATTGACCGAAATAGTCGCGTTGGAGAAATGTGTCGAAGAGCGGAAATTGTTTCATGAAAGCATCCTCAATCTAAGCGCGTAATCGTCCGAGATTAAAGGGACTATCCCACCTTTAACATGGGGTTTGAGTTGAGATAGCCAAGTTTGCGGCGAGGTTCAGAAACCACTATCTATCTAGGTTGCAACCCCCGCGGCCTCTTGGTGTTGAAGAAATTCGTTCCCTTCATTTGAAAATGGGCCTTGTACAAGGCCCTATCTTCAACATGGAGCGACCGTTAGTGTGACGTCACCTCGTTTAGTCATTCTGATTTAAATGGTATTTTTTTTTTTCGTTGAAAAAGCGCTTAAAACTTGGTCTGAACTTTGTTGTGGTGCCTACAGAGTAAAAAGAATCAGCTTTATGACAGTAATGTGGCCTGGGGAAGGAGGTAATTTTGGGCTGTGACGTCACATATTTGAAAGTTTGTGTTTGGAATATGGGAAGTCTAAGATGTTTAATGAAAAATAAATGCCAGAACCGTGTTCCTGGTCATCCAATCTATAAAGTCGGGCACAATTTAACTGGTTTTAACAACATTTTAGAAGGTGGGATAGTCCCTTTAACATTGACATTTGACTCGACCAAAGTGTTTTTAAGCCGTCTCACGCCGTAAAGATCATGTTTTGCTATGCCGCGGTTAGTAATAAATGGTAATAGCTATTGATTATCATGAGTCCTTTGTCAACCTTGATTTGCTTCGCCGCTACAGCGGCCGCATTGGCCAGTCAGTCTGAAGCTTTCAACATACCTTCTGCTATCAGTGCTTCCCGACTCTTTCGTATCGCTCGATATACAGCCTACAGGCCAATATTTGCTAACCGGCGAGGAATTCCAATCCCGACCGTCCACGAAGCTCCGACGCCGGACGCTGCTCGGTAGCGCATCACTGTAAGGTAGACTGTGCCGCACGACTCGGCGGCCGTGCGGCACAGCATGCTCCGTCCACCGCCTGCATGTATTATGGAGTATGGGCTCATGCAATGTCGGTGTCGCATCCCCGGCAACTTCAGCGAATACTGGAACTGCATATTCCACCACAACCATTGCAGGCTATTGTATCGATTTGATTGCTTGCTCGTGTTTTCTTTTTCTTTTCTTCAAAGATGTTTTCATGTAAGGTTTATGCGGACAGGCCAGACTATGTAGACTATAGATAGACCTATGGCAGACGCGGGGTGATGCGGCATTGATGCCTCCAGAGTCCGCTTCCCACCCCCATGGCTGCCCGTCCACGCTCGGGGGCGTTCGTTGGCGCATGTCTGCCCAGTATCGAGTGGCCGATAGCCGCTATCAGGCCGAGTCGCCATCGGCCGCCGTGCAACCAGGGCGCCTGTCTGACGGTGCCGTGACGCCGTACTGACGCCGTACTGACGCCGCCCTGACGCCGTACTGACGCCGCCCTGACGCCGTACTGACGCCGCCCTGACGCCGTACTGACGCCGTACTGACGCCGCCTCGGCGCCGTATACTGACATCCATTCGGCTCTGCCGGAGTAACGTCTCCCCGACGCGCGGCTCTCTTAGTGCTCGTCGCTTTGAGATAAACTTTCATTTAGGTGGTAGACGCCGATGTGATTCTTTTTTACACTCATTTCCCTCACAGATTATTCCTGATTTCGCTGGCATTGTTATCGTTGAAGTTCGATAATGTAGACGGCGTTCCGCTTGGGTGCTTTTGTGCAAAATCTATTTGTATGTGATTGGGTTGCTGTAACACTTGGTTGTCTGCCACCGGTCATCCGAGGCCTCACAGGCTGTGTGCCAATGTCTATTGATGTCGATATCGTAAAACGCTTGACCCCTGACCGCTGACTTGTACCGGCGCGGCGGCGTTCCCCGGACGGGGCGCAAGGAGTGTTTCCCCTCCACACATCAGCTATCGGCTGGTCGTCATTTTCAAACCGTTGGTCAGGGACTACCGGTCAGCGGACCAGTCTTCAAACGTTCAGCTAGGCAGATTATATCGCTTAGCAGTGTCGAGTCGAGCATTCACATTATTATGTCGAACTGAGTGAGTCGGGAAGACGTACTGAGCAGTTTGCTATATTTTACCAAACACCAAGCGTGGTGCTCGTTGTTACTTGTTAGCCTAAAATCTAAATTGTTTGTGTCCTGGATTTTATGTCGTTTTTACCTGTTGAACCCTATAATGTATGTATGCCTCTATTAAGCTAATGACTTAACGTCTACTGTTAAGTTTTATGCAAAGCTTGTAAGTGCACTGGCGGATCCAGACCTGCGTTTTTTTTTGGGGGGGGCAACTCATGCCAGGAGCCAAACCTAGGGTACCCCCAATTCCTGTTTTCTCATCGGATTTAGGCCACTTATTTTTCGTCACAGCCCTAAAACGATTTTTTTAACTAAAAATAAAAAACATAGAAATGGTAGCCCACCAGATCCGTGCCTTTATATTTCTTTCAAATACTTCAAATTGCTTTTGTTGACCAGTTAGCCCGCTCCGGGTCGGTGCTTGGCGCAGCCTTCGCCGGCCGGGAGGTGTCGGTTGGACCCCCCTGCCGTTCGGCCCCTGATCAAGCTAGAGCTTCGCGGAAGAAAACAAGCGTGTCGCCCGTAATTGACTAGAGGAAGCCGATGGTACCCGATCTTAAGGTTCTTGGTCATTGGTTGACCTTCCAGTTCAGGTCACAGACCCAAAAGACGGGAAAATCTGGACCTGTAAGAACCTCCTAAAGTACATAAGGCTGTAATGTGTTTTTTCGGGGTGCTGATCACGAATTTCATGTTAGTTTGGATCATTGATGATGTCTTCATGCATTTAGGCCAGATGGCTAATTCAATTATTCTCAGTTACATAATATTTCATCACTCATTATCTGTTCAAGAGTCATTGATCATTTCATACAAAATCACCAGCACTGGCGGATCCAGAAAGGCAGTCTTGGACGCAGCGGGGGGGGGGGGCATATCCCCCCAAAAGTGTCTCCAAATTCCAAAAACTCATCGGATTCCTATGGCTTACTAACTGCCGTGCAGTTTAAAACAAACTTTTCCCAATTAAAGTTGTTTAGTTTTCGCTTTGTTCTAAAAAAAAACGTTTTGTCAACTCCAAAAACTTCTCTCCCATAGCAATAGGAATACACAGAGCCATCAGCCACGTCAGCTTTTTCTACAAGCTTACATAGATGCACTAGTTAGTTATTTAGATGTAGTAGTGCCATTCCAGAGCAGACACCACGCCGCGGATACCCGTCCCCGCCAGGCGCCACATCTCAATCTATGTGCCGCTGTGGTTGGTTGGTTGTGGGTTAAGCACGATATCCCCTTGGGAACAGACGCTAATACGAATATTCACCCAGTTTTCTGGCGCTAATTTGGTGTATGGGGCCACTCGACCTGCGTTAAGTCGAGTCGTGCCGACTTACGCAGAGTTTGACGGTGAGCTGCCGGCGTACCCAAGGCCGTACCGGTGCGGTGCTGTTGACACCAACCAAGGCTTGATATAAATCTCCGACGCTGAAAGTCAGTTGGGCACCACTGTTCCATCCTTGAATAGCTGCCAAATCGCTAACAGTACCAACTTAACAGCGGAAAGGAATTTCTAAAGGAACTTCACTATCTAAGGCTGGAACTTACCAGCAATGACTCATTTTAATGACCACTCCCGGTGTATTTGGGAGGGGGGGGGGCTAATTTATATTGCCGCCCCTGTCGAGTTTCGAATGGGGGTGGGGCTTTAGCCCCTGCCGCCCCCTGGATCCGCCAGTGTGTAAGTGTATGCAATGAATCGCCTCGGTTTTGCGTGGGCTGTTGTCCCGTGACCAGTGAACGCTTTATGTGGCACCGTCTTGATCATTAGATACCGCAGGCATGTGTAAGAGCCGTGCAATCTTTGAACATTACCAATCACAATGGTGTGCAACGTGTTGTTCGTGAATCCTCTGTTGATGATTCACACAGCTTAATGGCGTCATGTGTATGACATTCATTTCCGATGCGCAATGCCTGACCTGTTGGACTTCGCGCCGTGCAATACGGTTTTCACCAACTTCTGATCGACATTCCTACGTGGTGACATCATTATACAGTAAATGTTTGCACCGAAAAACAATGCCTTGGTACATTGTGTGCAGTGGATATTTTTATCACACCCACTCACAGAAGTCGCGTCGCATACTTACGTCTTCACTTGTACTGGTAACCGTTCCCTCTATTTGAATTTGGCGTTAACTGTCTGGCGCGTATTTGCAAAGCTGCTGCTACTGACAACAACCATCTATGGCCACTATGGCTGGCGAGCTAGTCGTGAACCATATTGGGTTATTGATATGTCACACACTCATACAATCGGCCTGCTCCACCGCGTGGTCAGCCCAGAACGCCCTGGGAAAGCCGGCGCTGGAGCACTTCCTTTCTACATTTGTTGTGCAATGCATTCTTGTCGGAAGGAATCGAATGAAATAGCCCCCTACCAATTTCTTTTGGTAAATTTCTGGTGATGCTCGGTAATTCCTCGAACTTTGCAGGTTGCACGGAAGTGCCCCACCCCTTGTACGGAAGTGCCCCATACCTGGGGCAGTTTCGTGCAAACGTTCTGAGTAATTAAGTCATTTTTTCCCTAATAGACGCGATAATTTTAGAGGATAACTTTTAAAAAGTAAAAATATCTGCAATAGTTCCTTCCCATACTACAATCATCAATTATACCATGGCACCAATCAAAGAACAGATATATGAATTTATCCTTTGTTTGCATGAATGTGCCCCACTCTACCCTACTTTGCTTTTTATTTTGACCTTGTGTTTTCTATATTTATGCTGTTTATTATTGAGTTTTTCCTTAGAAACCCCTGAAATGTCAGACGTTTAACTCCTTTGACATAGCTCTATATCCGCTGGCGTGCTGCCGCACTCTGAGTGCTCTGGGCTGCTGTCCTCTGATCGCGCGCGGGCCGCCACGCCCTGCCCCCCACGTGGTGCCCTGCGGCCGATGGTCGTGCCGGGCGGCCCCGCGCCGCTGGGTGGCCGCTCGGCGCGACGCGGCGCGTCGGTTCGCCTCCAATCGACGCCTGATTCACGGCCGGCCGCCGCCGATAGCCACGGCAAACAGCGCGGGCTGATAGAGCCGGGACCGTGTCCGGGCGCGGGATCGGCGCCAGCGGGCAGGGGCAGGGGTGCGGGCGCTGGGACTGGGACAGGACCGGGACGGAGCTGGCACTGCCGCTCGCCGCGCCGGGTCGGAACTGGGACGGGTCGGTCGAGACTGAAACAGACGGGCCACATGGGTCAATTCCTTCGTTGGGACTCGCCCGAAGGCGCCGAGACTTAACGCACCTTACCGATGGATTTCTAAGACGCTAGGATCGGATTTCGCAGAATATTGACCTCACCTTACACCAAGTTTTGTCAGGATGGACAATTGATAACAAACAGCCATGTTTAGACCCGCTACAGCAGTTGAAATGCTGATAGGTCGGTCTGGATTGTTTGGACCAGCGTGGCCACGGTGGGACGTGACACTTTTGGGCTCTCCTTCAGTGTTTTCAGACATATTTCGAAGAGTGTATGAAGCCCAGCTGCATCACGCGCTGTGAGCTGCCACTGGCATGGCAGACCGCTGTAGTTGTTCCTCTGCATAAGGGTGGTACAGCCGCCTGAACAAGCACTTCGCAACCGTCGGTCCTGCTGTGGCAGAAGCCCTGGCAGAAGAGGATGCTGGAGAGACGCTCAGCCCTAGGCCGCCGCGCGTCTGCAGCGGGGCATTCAGCCCGCGGCCGGCCACGCTGCCGGAGCTATCGGCAGCGCTTCAGAGAATGGGGGCGTCAAAGGCCAGCGGAGCTGACGGCATAACCATCGCGATGCTCCGAATGACTTTTAGTGTTACCGGACCGCACATACTGCATGTTGTGAACAGCTGCATCACGCGCTGTGAGCTGCCACTGGCATGGCAGACCGCTGTAGTTGTTCCTCTGCATAAGGGTGGTGACGAGGATGTGCCGAGCAACTACCGACCTGTGTCAATACTGCCTGTCGTTTCTAAGCTCTGTGAGCGTGTTATATGCACGCAGCTCACTGATTACCTCGTGAGCCATAACATTCTGTGCCACCAACAGTATGGCTTCCGCCCCGGACTCTCCACGGAGGCGGCCCTGCTCGATGCTGTCACGTTCGCCGTCGATAACGTGGACAATGGACGCGTGACGTCATTGGTGACGGCAGACACATCCAAGGCATTTGACAGCGTCGAGCATGGCCGTCTCCTGGAGAAGCTGGGATGGTATGGGGTGGACGAGCGTTGGTTTCGCGCGTGGCTCTCTGGTCGCTGTCAGACGGTGAAGGGAGGAACAGGCGAGACACTACCGGTGACGCACGGGGTGGTACAGGGGTCGATCCTGGGCCCCGTACTGTTCCTCCTGTTCACCAACGACCTGCCGCAGCACGTGCCGTACGGCAAGCTTGTCATGTACGCCGATGATGTACAGTTCTTGGACACCGACCTGTCGGAGAACTTACCTCTGCTGAAGTGTCGCGTGGAGAACATGCTGTCTGTCGCCTTGCGGTGGTTCACCCAAAATAGGCTTAAGGTCAACCCTACGAAAACCGACATGCTTCTTCTCAAATCAGCTCGAAAAATTGTCACCGGTGACTTCACAGTGAAATTTGGCAGCTCTTCTATTAACTCTGTACGATCGTCCAAGATTCTGGGTGTGACTCTTGACTCGTGTCTGTCGTGGGAGCAGCATGTAACGGCGGTTGTCAGGCGATGCTACTCGATTCTGATTGGTCTCGCGAGAATGCAGCGCCGTATACCTCGAGAGACGAAGCAGCTGCTGGTGGAGACGCTGGTGTTTCCCCACCTGCGGTACTGTAGCTCTGTGTGGGGAAGCTGTTCCGTCACACAGAAACGCAGACTGCAGAAGTGCATCAACTTTGGCGCTCGCGTTGTAACCGGCCTAGGATACCGAGAACATGTCACGGAAACGCTGCGAGAGCTAGGGTGGAAACGGATCGAGCAGATGGTAACTGAGCACGACAGCTGTGTCATGTACCGACTGTTACACGATACCAGGGCCTCGGAGGTGTTACGCACACGGATTACCAGTCGTTCCGATGTAGCTGCACGTGAGACGAGGGCCACTGTCGACGGCCAACTCGAGGTGCCGCGCACGCGCACCGAATTCGCCAGACGGTCGTTCTACGCCCGAGCCGTAAGGGCGTGGAATGAGCTGCCACGATGTGTGAGGAGCTCCGCCACCTACGCTTCTTTCAAGAGGCAGGTGACCGGTGCCGGTTGATCTAGTGATCTCGCTTGAGACCTTGTAGGTATTTTAACCATTTTAAGGATTTTAGTCGGGTACATGTCCTTCTTTTGTGTGATATATTGTAGGAATTATGTTGGGTACTTGTATGACGTGGATAACTGAAAACCCACCCGATGGATGTTTTCCGAAATACATGATTATGATTATGATTATGATTATGAGTGATGATAACTGGCAACAACAAGAGCTTAGTGAGTTAAAGGCGCATTAGCTCTTATAAAACACTTTCGCACTGTTATTGCTGAAAGTGACAAGCACAAGCAAGCTTCGATGTCTTTCAGAGCTGCTTTCTCTTTGTTCCTCTTTGCTTTGAAAATATGTTCTGTCACTTCCCCCAAAGAGGAATGTGACCGTGATTTTATCTGACCTATAACTCCTGTGCCTGACCTGTGTCTGTATTTGACCTGACCTGTGACCTCCGCGCCCGCAGACGCGGCCTGCGGGTGCTGGCTGCCGCCTACGGTAGCGGCTCGCTGGCCGTATCGGCCGCCGCCGTCGCCGGCTGGCTCGGCTACGATGACGTCACCGATCTGCGGTGTGACGTCACTCAGTGCGCACGGCTGACGGAGCGCGGTGACGCCGTGTTCGACCGGAAACTGTCGACCAGTCAGGTGAAGGTGAGAGCTACTTCCGGCGGGGGTCAGTTGTAATCGCACGCGCACAGTCAGTGCGTCGCATGCGTCATCGGCGTGGCTGCGGAATCTCTGCAACGGTACAGAGGGCTAGGATACAGAATACAGATACTTTCCGGACGGACATGAAGGTGTCGTTGTTGACGGGACTAAACCGCCTCGGTCCGCACACGCAACCGGTGTCATTAATAAACACAGTAATTATCGGTGTTGCCTGTGGTTTTCACCCAAGTTCCCGAAACATTTCCTTATAAATTGAGTCACAGTGCTTGGTGATCAGTTTAAGAATTAACCCTCGCCCATGTGGGGGGGGGGGGTTGGTGCACCCCCCCCCCCCTGAGGTTTTTCGGAAATAGTGCAAAAACGGCGGCGCGCAGCGCCGCCAAATTTTGGGTACCTTATGGGGCAAACCTTGCGCATCTTTTGTACAAAAAATTTGACCGGGTCATGTCAGGTCACGGAGTTATGACGTCACAAAGGGAACAGCCTCCGGCCGGATTTTCACAAACTGAGTGCCAACGCCCGAGGTTTCCTGCCGGTGGTACGGACATCGGTTGATGGATCGTGTTGAAACTTCCCATGCATGTTGGGGCAAGTATTGGCTATCATATGGTATAAGAAACTTGACCGGGTCAGGTCAGGTCACGGAGCTATGACGTCACAAGAGGAACAGCGTCCGGTACTATTTTTGAAAAGCGCCCGAACCACTATTTTGCTAATTCTTGTCACCTCAATGGGAATATGCAGCAATATTAGCTTCTATAGGGAGCAAATGGACCTCCCAAATCCAAAAATACAATCAGATTTCAAAAATTTAAATTTTGATTTTTCGAATTTCTGCCGCCGACTGTGACCTTGCCGACTTCCGGCGCTCCCAACGCGCCATTTTTAGAGCTAGGGAAACGAAATACATACCAAACGATAGAGAATTGATCAAGGAACACGATAGTGAAGGTTTCAAGTCGATATCTTCCACCGTTTTGCCGCAATCGCCGCGGAAAGTTGAAAAAGTCTATTTTTTTCGAAAATTTGACCTTTGACCGGTCAAAAGTAGGTCAAATGTTGACCTAGGACCAAAAAATATACCACCAATCGCGAGATCTCGGCGAGAGCAATCCGTTGGTCTTTTCCGCTAAGCTCTACGACGCTCCGTTTTCAAACGCCAAGGGGGGGGTCGCACCAACCCCCCCCCCCCCCCTGCATGGGCGAAGGTGGCAGATCGCCGTTTACGGGCGAGGGTTAACGCTCGCAGTATGTGAACAGATCGTTACAGATCGTTTTTATGGCTCGCTAGGATCCGTTGTCGAAGCATCACGCACCATAATATCGCTTCTGCTTTTTATTTTTAAATTTTATTGCCTTTCACTTTTGTCGCATTATCTGTTCAGAGGAGGCTAGGGTACAATATGAGGGGCCAGGAGGGGAGGGAGAGAATATACGGTGGCCAGTGACCGGGACCACCGCCAGACCAAACAAAATCCGGCGCTGATGGGCGAGCGCCGAGTATCGTGTGCCAACATGTCCGGCGTGCATTTCTGTTAGTTGCGTCGGCTGAGGATATGACACCGTGTCTGTGTGTGTCTTCCCTGCGGCCTGCCGGCACCGGGTGACCGTCCTGTGTGCCGCCGTTTGCAGGTGCCCGATCGCGGCTGGCTGTCCCTGGAACGTGCTCTCCGCGACCCGGCCCGCCTGCTGGCCGTGTGCCAGCTGACCGACGACACTCAGAGGTGACCTGAGGTCAGGTCACAGCGAAGACCGGGGGCGAGGTCACAGGGATGAGGTCACAGCTGTGCCCTGAGGCCAGGTCACAGCGGTGACCGGGCGCGAGGTCACAGCAGCGCCCTGAGGGTATGCTCATGTGTGATATGGTAACGTGGCCATAGCTCCCAGGTGGTCTGGGATGAGGTCACAGTGGTGACCTGGGGCGAGGTCAATGTGGTGACCTGTGATGTGTTATGGCTACATGTATGTAAATCGGGCCCGTTTAATAGGCTGCTGCGGGGTCCATTCAATCATGTGAGGTGATTCTGGTAACACATAACGCAAACTATCATTTGATCCGCGCCGTGCTGGTGATCTGAGTTTCCCGTGGTGTGCGGGGGTGAGGCGTTTCACGCATCCCCCGTCTAACTCGGCTCCTGGGCCACGTAGCGACACGCAGTAAGCGGCACTTGAAAGAGCGTCAAAAATAATGAAGAAAATTCTTCGGTCATTCTTAGGTCAGGTCAAAGGTCAGGTCGCCAGAGGTCATCAAAGGTCAAATTTCGCCTATTTCAACAATTTTCGATGCACCAGCGCATAACTCAGGAACCAATAGAGCTGCAGCGCCGCGGAAAAGCGCATCTAATAGTTCTATTAGCCTTCATTCTGGAGTGTGCCCTCGGATTTGACCGTGGGTCAACGATTTAACCCCAGACTAGGGTAAAAACTGAAAAATAACCGTTTTTTACGAAAACATGTTTTTCTCCAATAACTTTTGATTCAAGAGAGTCTCGACATTAATTTGGCCAGCATCGTGTTCCTCTCGTCGAGACGCCTCGAATGAATTATATTGTGACTTTGAGAAGTCAATTTGAAAGTTTGATTTAAGGCCAAGGTCATGTCCTAACCAGAAAAGGTCATGTTGCACATCAGCCGATCCTTGTCGTCGAACAGAACTCATCTGTTGCGTTTCCATGGCTCTAGCATGCCTCTCAGCAGAAGTTATTAGCGAGAAACTGTTCAACCCTTTTGTGACCTGAGATGACCTCAAGGACATTAGCCGAGTGGTCACGGCCCACGGGTGCCTTTTCCGGTTTAGTGTGTCTTGTTTGTTTGTAATTAGGTATTTGAAGGTGTTAAGAATGACGTTCGTCCAAAACAGGCGCTTTTCAATTTCTACATTGACTGATAGTGGTAATGGAGAGGTCGCAAAATTGACGTGACCTTATGTCACCGATATCGAAATTCCGAGACAAACATTTTGTACATACTGCTGCTCTAATCAATCGCTAAAAGTTTCAAAGCGATCGATCACTCGGTGAAGCTATGGTCACTGATGTGACCTGGTGACCTGACCTCGATTGACCTGGGTCTGAAATTTAAGCATGTGTGGAAAAGATGTATGAACAGGTTTGCTAAAAACGGCAGCGCTGCTTTTGAGATATTCGCGAAAAACCTGACGGGGGGGGGGGCGTGAAAACGCACCCCAGCACGGCGCGGGCTAGATAATTTTGTTATTTCTGTAGCTTGATTATTATATTTTGATCGTAATTTAAAGTACCGTCACGATTTGTATGCTATCATGTCCTACTGATTTTATCGCATATTTTGATTATATCATGTGGTCAGTACAAACACTAAAGGAAACTTCAAGGGCAATTTGTGGGTGAATATTTTAAATACAATACGGCAGCTTCATATATCTTACCGTTACAGTTACTCTAACCGTGGCTCTTTTTTAGCTCAGTTGAACCATCCTGAGCTCTGTTCGGTCGCTGTTTTTATATCAGCGTGCTGTCGGTTTTCCCCATATAAGGAACTTATTGCTGGCGCTTCTTGGCCTCTCATTGGTCTAACGAATAGACCACTTGAATCCGACTAATGACTAATGAGGAGCCAAGAAGTAGCAGCATGCTCGCAGCCTGCTGATAAATAAACGGGTGGCGAACAGAGCTCAGGTAAGATTAAATGATCTTTTTCCTTGCTGGTATTGGTAAGTTCTCGGTTTAACGTAGAAAAGGTGATTTTTACATTACAATATGTGCTGAGTCCCACTGGCGGTCGCAGCCGCTAGCAAAAGGGGGGGCCAAAGTCACACTCGCGGGACATAATTTTTTTTCGTCCACGAGGCGCCGCGCAGTTGGCATTACTTATGCTTCATCCACCTCATTCTTGCGTGAAATCTTTAAGCTCAATTTAAGGCAAAAGCACCAGTTCCATATTTCCCATCCCACGGTGTTTCCATCGGTCGGGCCACTGCACCATTGGGACGGATCGGTGTAGCATATACTGGAAGGTCGGGCACGCGGATTCATGACCTTACCACCAACTTACCACAATAAAACAATTCGGAAAAGTACGGATACCTCTTGCTTTGAACAAGCACGTGAAACCCAGAGAGCATTTTCAGACTATGACATTTACCCATATAGTTGTTTGGCGGCGGGAGAGAATAGGTACACCGACCTCTGGAGACCCCCGGCCCCACAGGTTCCTGGTTTTCAAAATTGGTATCTGAGGGCCGCGCACGACTCGCGCGGGGCCTCGCAACGGCTCTATTGGGGCTCACTCAACCTGCCTTATAGTCCTACTGCTAAAAAGACTGGCCCTGAGCCCTAAGGACTTCATCAGTCTCTGCCAGCCCCAGGACTCACACCGGCTCATGGGGTCCCGACGTCGAAATATGAAGGAATCTGCGCGGGACCATCAGGACGTAAAGTAATCTCGATCAGGACCAACGTACGTCTGTGCAGGAGTCTGCGTGAGCCCTGTGATCTTCAGAAGCCCACCCATGTATGTTTTCACTTAGAGGCCAGTTTAGAGCCCTCAGAGACCAGTACAGGGCCTGCAAACTGCAAAGGCCAGTAGTTTGAGACCATCAGAGACCGAGTTGGGCTCTCAGAGGCTTATGTGGGTCCTACTCATTACAGGCCAACATGGGGCCCTCAGAGGTCAGCGTGGGACCCTAAAAGACCGGAATGAGCCGTCGTTGGAACCCATAGGCCAGCAGAGGGCCCTCAAAGGCCAAGATGAGCCCTCCTCAGAGGCCAATGCAGGCCCTTAGAGGCCAGCATCGGGTCTTCAGCAGCCAATGCGGGGCCCTCATTGGCACCTAAATGTTTGTCTTGGGACACCAGAGACAGCAATAAGGCCACTAGAGACCAGTGTGAGACCCTCAGACGCCGGTTGGGGCCCCTGAGGCCGGTTAGGGGTCCTCATAGGTCAGATGTGGGGCCTCAGAGGTCGATGTGGGCTCTTAGCGGTCAACGTGGGCGCTTGACCGCCACTGAAGTTCCCTCAGAGGTCAGTGTTGGACGCTCAAAGACCGGTGTGGGAGCTATATTAATAGCTGGGCGTGTTTTTTAGCCTCGTGACGATCGAATCAGGGCCAGGGTCCCATACACCTATGGGGGCCCATCGGTTGCTTGAGGGGGGGGGGCAAATGATATGATGATTGATGGCCCCCTTTATGTGCCTTGGGGGGCATGGCCCTGATGCCCCCCGCGACCGCCACTGTGTACACATTACATACAGGCCTCTGAAATTACATACTAGCTAATGCAAACTCTATGCAGGCCCCGGAGATCCCACGCTAATCCTCAAGAAACCAAGCCGGCATACGGCGTCACCACCGGGCTTCTGAGGTGCACAGCACCAGAGGTCTTACTTTAGTGTCGTAGAGCCACGCTCATTTGGCAGGGCCCACCCGCCACTGGGAAGAGGGTCTCATGCCAGCCATTGCTGGGCCTACGAGAGTCTCAAGTAAACCCACGCTGATATTCCATATAAGATCCGGCCATACTCGTGAACCGGTGCCAGCGACGCTGACCGCCAAATTGACAGAATACGAAACTGAGCCCACTCATGAGTGAAATTTACGTCCTTTGATGGTGCAAGAAAGAAAATGAAACATACAAAAAGCTTTTCTAGGACTTCTGTTCGATCTGAAAGGTGGGGCCAAAAGATAGTATGGCCCCACCTTTCAGCACCAAAGGGGGGGCCATGGCCCCCGTGCCCCCCCCCCTGGGACCGCCTATGCTGAGTCCCCTCATGACCTAAATCTTTCACAAAGCTATGCTTTAAATGTTTGTGTAGTGGGCCGGCTGGATTCGTTCAAAAAGTGTTATCACCCTGGCTGCAGGCATTAAACTTGGTATGGCCCGAGTTATAATTTTAGTTTGAACTTTGCAAGCGGAGTTTACAGTATGTTAAAGCGTTATGTGTTATGTTAAAAGCGCGAAATTGAAGCTGCAATCCATAATTAAGCTTGTGCGCTTTACTATGTCGGGTAATTTCCAAACAGCTGCTTTTTTAAGATGAGTGTTTCGTTAAATTATCTAAGTGGTGTAAATGAGCTGTTCTTTTATTGTATGCTCCTTTGCTGGATGCGTTTCATTCTCCTTGTCATTACCGTGCTGAATACATTTTCTAACGCGTTGGTAAACTAAGGCGTCGTTGTCAAAGCTACTCTTTTTTTTAGTGGCCTTATATATCCTCGGCCTGGCGAGGAGGAGGCTATCCGGCTCGTAAAGCGAGTTTCATTTATGACGGCATAATACCATATTCGTGGTGCAATGCAGGTAGCCCACCATGCATTGATGAAGAATACGTGTATTACGGTGTCCATTTTTAACCCTCGCCCGCACATGCCATTTTCCCATCCTAGAACGCACATGGGGGGGGGGGGGGGTTGCCACCACTCCCCCGCGCCATTTCGTTCCTGTTGGAGATAGAGCTTAGCGGTAAAGACCAAAAAGATTCTTTGGGAAGAGACGAATCCAATGATACCCAGTTTTACCTTCTCAGGTCAGTCATTGACCTTCCAGGCCAGGTCAAACTAAAAAATGTTGCTGTTTTAGGTGGTAACCGGACAAAAAGTCAAAAGGAATAAAGTCAAAAGACAAATAGTCAAAAGATAAAAAGTCAAATGCAAAAAGTCAAACGGGATAAAAGTCAAAAAGATAAAAGTCAAACGGGATAAAAGTCAAAAAGATAAAAGTCAAAACGGATAAAAGTCAAAAGACAAAAAGTCAAAAGCAAAAAGTCAAAATGTGCAAAAGTCAAAAACGCAAAAAGTCAAATGACAAAAAGTCAAAAATGCAAAAAGTCAAAAATGAAAAAGTCAAAAGGATAAAAGTCAAAACGGAAAAAAGTCAAAAGACAAAAAGTCAAAAGCAAAAAGTCAAAACGTGTAAAAGTCAAAAGACAAAAAGTCAAAAATGCAAAAAGTCAAAAGGATAAAAGTCAAAACGGAAAAAAGTCAAAAGACAAAAAGTCAAAACGAGTAAAAGTCAAAAGACAAAAAGTCAAAAGCAAAAAGTCAAAACGGGTAAAAGTCAAAAGACAAAAAGTCAAAAAATGAAAAAAGTATAAAATAGAAAAGTCAAAGTCTGAAATAAAAAGTCAAAAGGATAAAAGTCGAAGCATCGATCTTTTCATCTTTTGAAAAATATTATACAGCGCAACGTACCCTACCCACTGAAGTTGTAAGGAACATGTGAGTACGCGAGGGATTCTGACAGGTACCGGGGTCCGCAGCAGCGGGGCAGGGACGCTGGCTGCGGTGGTGGGGCCCACGCTCACATAATACGCGTTGAGCGCTTCCGGCGTGCACGCTGGCGCAGCAGCAGTGGCACTCTTCCCCGCCCCGATCACCGGCCGCAGCACTGTCCACATCCTCGCCGGTCCTGCCTCACGCAGCTGGTCAGCATAGTATGCCGCGTGGCTGGTCACGTCTGATGGCCGCTCGACACTGCCGGTTCACCACCGTATACTCGGCGCGCGGGCCGAGCAGTGCGCGCCGCCGCGCCAGCAGCGCTCGCGTGGCGTCCGTGGTGCGCGGAGCACCGGGCGGCGGCAGCCCCTCCCCCATGGGAGAGGGTGAAAAGCAGTGCCTCCTCTAAGCAGTTTTGACTGGGGGGCCCGATCACGGGCAATGACTAAGGTAACCCCTACCAAAAACGTCTAAGACTAAAAAATGACTAAGGTACCCCTCAGTGACCAGTTTGGAGGATGACTGCGGGGGCTGCAGCTCCCGCAGTTAACATGTTAGAGGAGGCATGGGTGTCGTTTTGAATAGGCATGGTAGGGCCCGAGCCCTGCCAATAATTTTGGAAATTTAACATTATGCCTATGGCGTTGCGTGGAAAGAATCGCTTTGAATTGGCAAAAATTTACATTAGAGCCCTACCAATAATTTTCGGAAAGTGTCGCCCCTGAGAGGAGGCCCTGGTGAAAAGCCAAAACCTCAAAATAAAAAATACCATGTGATTAACGCTTAAATGACGTCAATGGACTTAAAGTAAAAAATACAAAAGACGAGATAATTTCAAAATTTTGAGTTGCAATTTTTGTCCCCTCAACGTTCAACCTACCCCATAAACTTTTCAAACGTTCCCGGGTCACCACTGCCCCATCGTGCAATTCCAGTGCTATGGCAAAGTTTTATCTGAAAGTTTAAACGTGCCCGATAGACTGGACGCGGTCCCCTCCGTCCACTCACGCTCTCTGGTCTCTGTGCGGTCATCGCTGACTGGTCCAGCATCCAACGCGCTGGGTTTATAGAAATTTGGTTAAAAGAAATGAACATATTTTAATGAACGAATCCATTAAGTAATAAAATGAAAATGATTCACAGGTTATTATTACATGTGGGAGCACTGGCGCTGGAACTTTCTCAATGTTGGAGGGGCTCGAGG